CATGTAAATGGGCAAAACTCAGACATAAACTGGTCATTTTTTTATGACCATTAGAAACTGCGATTGTGAGAAAAAGTTTAATTTCTCTGCTATTTGTGCATTTTAACAGGTTTTCGGCAATATTTAACTGCTTCGGTGAAAATCCGCGAATATTGACAAGAGAATTAATGAGAAATTATAGTCTCCCAAGCAGTCACATATTGCTAAAAACCTGTTTAAATGCACAAAGAGCAGAGAAATTAAACTTTTTCTCACAATTACAATTTTTGATACACGCTTTTTCTGCGAAACTAGTCAATCAATCTTACTCTTAGATATCTACTGAAAGAAGAAAAGGGTTTATATCGTGCATTAGCTGAGTATCTCAGAGTTCAGAACATTTTTCAAAAACCTGTCTATAGTGTAGAGTTTTTTGCTGAGACAATTATGCTTATTTTTGTGAAATCGAACATGGATGTCTGCCTTTGACACACAAGTAGAGAATGATTTAATGAACCATTTGGTTGAATACAAGGTTGAAAAGAAACTGAAAAACAACGCAAACTCCATGCCAAACTCATTGGGTCTGGGTTCTTTTTATTAACTCTAGCACACAATTTAGCGACGTTGACAAAATTCCTCTTTGGACATTAAGTCGTATCATTCTTTCAGTTCAATTTTCTACTGAAAGAAAACTATTGGATCACGTAGTTCAGAAGATAAGGGTATTTTTCTTTATTTGAGCAAAAATGACCCAAACTATTTGAGGAAAAGTGTTCTTAAAACAATAATGTTTAAAACATGAAAAATATGTTACCAACGAATCAGGAAAAACATCAGTCACGACAAAGTGGAAAAAAAGATGTTTACTAAAATATTTTTACAAACGAAAGACTTCATTTGGGCTGATAAGTGATCTGAAGACAGTATAGGGGATGGAGTTCATGAAAGGGAAAAATATTCGGTATCTTTCATAATGTATTTTTTTCAAGAAAAAAAAACATTGATTGGTGAAACCTATCAAGATCGATGATTATCTTTTTTATAAAAACATGGTTGATTGTCTATTTCAACATCACAAATAGGGCTATCTCTGATACTGATCAAATGCGCTAAAGAATGGTACGAAAATAATTTCAATTTCCTCATTTAGAAAAAAAATATCAAATCACATGGATTATCATGAAGTTAAAATCATTCACGATTTACTCAAAGAAATAGAGAAAGAGACAAAGGAATTTGATAGTAATTTTATACCGAGTGTAGTTTTTGAAGCATAGGTCCACAAACAAATAAATTTATCCCATTTTACTTTTATGCTGTAGAAACTGGTAAGGTGTCCATATTTGCTATACTTTAGGCCTTTTAGAATATAGGTGCGGATGGCGAGTACAAGTGCCGTTGAAGTGAGACTGTCCAAGTGTGCTAAAGGGATTAAAAGGACTCAAGGGACTGATAGGACTAAAGGGACTAATGGAATTAAAAGGACTAAAGGGATAACTTGAAGGGACTAAAAGTAAAACGGGATAAATTTAATTTTTCGTGGACCTCTCATGTGATCGTGTGAACATGATAGCATTATTTTATTATACTTTGTTTTGTTTCGAAATAAATTGACTTATTTGCAACTATGCAAAACTTTAACTGTAATAGGTATATACAGTTGATCTTTGCACATGTTTTTGTTACTAACCTACTGAAACCGCAAATCATTTCTTCTCAGAAACTGCTCTAAGATTGATTTGAAGATCATTTTCAACTTGAGTGAGAAAGATGCATTAAGACACATAAAATTATCTATTTTGGTTGAAAAATAGCAAATTACACGCAGGCTTTTCTATAAGTAACTCGACGAGCTTAATGATATATTTTGAACAAATGAAAGACAAGATGTTTCATTCTCAAGTACAATCCTAATGCTCAGTTTTGAAAATTCAAGTTTTTGATAACTAATTACGTGCGATAAAAATGCATTTCAACTCACCGAACAAGATTCAGTGGCGCTACTGAGAATGGTAACATAGGCAGCATCATGGATACATATTCCATTAGACATTGAACATTTACCAACAATACACTTGAGAGAAGTTAATGCAGGTAGTGGTGGGGAAGCCAAAGAATTGCAAAGGTTTTCATTACAACAAAATTCATACGATGAACTTCGGCATTTGTGCGAGGGCACTAAGTCTCGAGTCGTCAAACCTTCCGGGGTTACTGTTATCTAAATGACAAAAAAAAAGAAAGAAGCAATCATGTTATACGTCAATGTCTGGCATGATCACACGAACCGAACATGAAGATAGTGAATCATTTTTTGCAGATTCAAGTGTTTCAATGTTTTTCGACTGTGGTGAAAATAAAGTGCCGCATTCTTGTCCTCCGCTACACGAATAACATTTCAAAGTTTGAATCGTTTGGATTTCTTTTAAATAACTTGATTAAACTTTCATGGAATATTATTTGCAATGTCACTTACCATGAGCCAATATCAAGTAGAGCAGAATAAATATTACCATCATTCGTTGAGGTCGTTTCTCACACTTTTATGTTGTTGCTATTATGTTTTTTGTCTTAACTAAACAATACATAACTATTGCATCCATTGTGATTTAAATGTGTGCATTAACTGATCAGAGACAAGTAAAGCCGAATATCAATTAGCAAGTTTTCAAAAGTTACATGTGAACGCAGATAGATCTATTTAGATCAGTTTTAGCGATTTTTTCGTCTGTCAAAACGATGACTGAAGTATGTACACGAAGCATACTCTCAAACGATCTCGAGATTACGTATTAGCGCATTTGTTCTGCGCCAATATCCCTCGATTTATATTGTGATCATCAACGATATAGCTCAATTAATAGGTGGATAATGGTGAGCAACTATGCTGTGTTTTATATCTGGTTTTGTCTTTGTTTGGATCGTTGCAAAAACGAAAATCAACTGCTACGACTAAGGGATATATGAACTGTTCGCAAGACGATACAAGATACAATTATGCTAACAATAGAAGGTGTCTTTCTTGCACATGAAAATTGTTTTCGAAAGAAGGTCACCTCCACAGAACAGCTAGAAAAAAATCTTTCAGTACCAAGAGAAAATTCTGAAAATTTTCCAGAACTAGGATAAAGAATCTTGTACCGTGAATTTCTAGCTACAGCACATGTCAAAGATCAGAGTGGTGCCGAGAATAGATGAAACCTTCTCATAGTTTACCAATATATTCCTGCGTATTGCACTAGTCGGAAAGAAATTATTAACAGTCTTGCTTTCATCATAGAAAGAAAAGAACATTCTTTGGTTCTCTTGAAAGCTATCTTCATTGTTCTTTTCGTTGTTTTTATAAATAGTGTTAGATCAATCAGTTGCAGAGATGTTCCTCATCGACTATTGATCAAACTTGATGTTTCTATCGCGTGCACTATAAGTTACAACGCAAGTAACGACTACAGCATTTGGCAAATTTTTTTCCGAACTATTCGTCTGAAAGATTTTGAACTTCAGAACACGTCGAGAGATGTTAATGAAAGGAGAAATACAAGAAAAAATCGCGAAGCAGTGGCAGAGCACAACACTATTGGCCTTTCGAATGACAGTTAGCTGAAGAAATTTCACTGTTGGAAGAGACGTGAGATCGACACAATGTACGGAGAGCAGGTGAAAAGTGAATATCAATAAAAAGAAACATTAAATTTTGGTTTAAACAGAATCCATGACAATTCTCAGTTCAAGTTCATTTGAGAGAACCTTAGAGTTGACGTCAGCTCTTAAAAGAATAGATTGACCGATTTTTCATTTGATCTGAAACTAAAACATCCATTCAAGTTTATATACCTCATATGGAATCGTCGCACATCTAGTCGCAATTTAACTGAAGCAGATTAGAGGTGAGCTATGGTAGATTATTAAAGGAGCTACTTTTCTCTACACATCATCACTGTCAAACTCAATCTCATTTTCTTCAAGGCTGCTTCACACAATCAAACATCATGCTTTCGCTTCCAGTGCCTTTCTCTTTCTTTCGACGTCGCAAGAAAATAAAAATGACTATTGCTACCACATTTTCTTTGCTTACGGCCTATTATGCAAGCCAAATTTTGTTTTTTTCTCATGCTGCACACAGCACAATTTCAGAACCTTGAAAAATGACTACTACATTGTTGACGGATGTTGAATTGTATGCAAATAACATCACCTACTCGACGCTGCACTCTGATATTAGACTGTTTCTCTCGATACAACAGCTTAGCTTCTTTTCTTGAAAAGGGTTTGGGGATCGGAAATATGGCATATGTGCTCACTTACACTAACATCATCAGTCACAGTGACAATTAAAGACATAGGCGCACGCACACTCTTACCTTTCTGCTAATTTTTTTTAATATGAGATTCGTAAGATATTGATAGGATCTTGAATAAATCTAGAATTTCCCAAGAAGTGTAAAATGTTACAAAATTCTAATGAAAAAAGAAATTGAGATTGTTTGGAAATAAGACCAGGAAATTCGCAGTAGAGTTGCACGAAATCAGTATCAGCTTAAGAAATTTCATCACAACTGTACTTCAGCCATTTGCAAGTTTTTCCAAATATTTTCGATTTTTTAAAAAACTGCTCATTGTTTTTTGGAACCTTCGACCAGCATCGGAATCAAAAATGGAAGAACTTAAAATACCAAGACCGAAAAAGAATAAATTTGTTCATCTCTGATTCTAAATGCTGGTAATTAATTAATACCAACAGTTTTTCTGACACGCAAGACTCTATAATTTCGCTATGTTGACATCAATTTCATTGACCTTGACTATCACCGATATGGTCTTACTACAGATTGTTGTTATGCGATGTTGAAAAATACAATCTATCAAACAGCGCACAATCCCATTACTGGCAATGAAATGCGTGTTTGATTCGTTCTGTTCGTTTTCTTAAGAAATAATATGCAAATGTTTATCGTTATAACATATGCTTCAACTGTTAATCAAACTCGACGAACGGCGAATAGAAACTGACAACTCACACTATGCTTCATCATAAGGTAGCAAGTGAAAGAAAAAAACAGCGTAAGTATTTTAAATCCTATTGAATTACTTTTCTGGCGTCTATCTTCCCTCAGCAAAGAACAGAACAAAATTCTTTTTTTATGCTTGTTATAGCTCGCATGGTTTGCAACAATAAGTACAAAGTATTTCGATTCTGCTATATCTTATCAACTGGCATAAATATTATAATAGAAGATTTCATATAAATAGAATCAAACGCATAATACTATTCCTATTAGTAATAGTATGATCACTTTGCTAAGGGTGTACATAGTTAACACGATATCTGCTACTTCCATCTACTGAGATAAAATGTTGAAATCATGGTTGTTTAACAGACCACTGAAAATGCAATCTATCATTGTCTTTCGTAACAACAGTATAGATTCAGGTTTTTTCGATTCTTTCCTTTTTTGACATTGAATTGAAGTGAGTACTATCTGATGATCGTTGTTACTGATGTGTAATTTTTACATTGCGGTTACTTAAAATAACTATACCTACATCTATACCCGTTTTTTGTCTTCCTATTCGAATTTATAGAGCCTTGAACGTCAGTACTCTAGTTTTGACTTCGAATCTTAACGTAGTTCTCTAATGCAAAAAAACAAAACACAACATTTATGAAAAACTTTAAAATTACTTCTGAGACCAATGGCATGTCCAGGAATTTTTTGGTGATGAGTCGTTTCAAAGCAAAATTATTTTGAGGAGTGGGTAACCAAGGGCAATTAAAAATTAATTGGACTATAGTTTTTCTAAAGGTGATTGCCATCACAAAAACCAATTTTCATCGAAGAGAACTTCGTTACTCTCAACTAAGAGGCTACAGTGAATGTTCATAACAAGATCTGCTTTTCTTTGAAGACTCGAAAGTGTTCTTTCTGTTTCAGACAACTTGAAAGAAAATTATAATATTATAATATTATTGAGTAAAGAAAAGTCTGCTGAATCGAATGATGCAAAACTTATTCAATTATCTTCAAAAATTAAATGAGTAATTAGCGGTAGTTTGCGACTAGTTCNATTTGCTGTTATATGTGAGCGGTGTGAAAAATATGCTTTTGTCATAGCCGTATTTTAGAGTAGAGGCAATCAAAATATTTGAAGCTTTCACAATAAACTATTCTCATGAAGATCTACTTCTATTCAAAATTTCAAATGAATTAATCTTCTTGGTAACTTTGTTCGTGCAAAGCTTGATTCTCTACATGATCTGTGGGTGACCATAGCTTTTTGTTGAATAACCCATCTTAAGAACAGACGCGATTTGATACGTGGAGAAAGTCGCTCGTAAGTTCAATTCTGTTAAGAAAATTTTCGATAGTAAAACAATATTATTTGACATTGTCTATTAAATTTTAGGAGTGGTGTATTTCGTACAGGTCCATTTTTGGCTTTATTTACAAGTGTACAAGATATAGATGAAGGTCGATCATTTCCTGATTTGAATAAAATAATTCGTTTACTTCGTTTGAAACGTCGTCATTTAATACAAGATATGAATCAATTAAAATTTGTTTATGAAGCTCTACTTTATTATTGTCAAGATTCTCTTGTTAAACGTAAGATTTCCTTTTTTTGTTTTAATTTTAATATTCAAAGTTTTTTTTTTATTCTATCAAGGTGGAGTATTAAAAGTTGGTTCAATGATGCATCATCAATCATCAACTTCAATACTAAAATCAACTTCTTCGAATAGTAATACTGTTCTATTTGATGATGAAATTAAAACAATTGTCGATAAAGCTAAACCAATCATTCAATCAACACCAAATTATGATGTTGGTCCAATTTTATCATCAACTCCAACTTCAACATTAACTCTAACTGAAGAAAAATCATCAGTAAAACAATTAACTGCTATTGAAGAAAATTTTAATTTACGTCCAGAAGAAAGTCATATAAAACCTAAAACAACACGAGAAGATTTTTTTCGAACAAAATCATCACCAGTTAAAGATTTATCTGATCCATTTAATCAATTAGATCCATTATGGACATTTCATTAATTAACATTTCTATTTATTTATATATAAATTTGTCAATACGATGATTTTTTTTTGCCTTTTTGGTTGCATTTTAATTTAATCGAAATAAACTTATTTACGATGTTTATTCACAGGATATATTTTGAAAGTGTATTCAATAATTTAGGAATTTTTCTTCAGCTGCTCATACGAGGTTTTTTCATTTAAATTTCTAGTTCTGGAAAAAAAATTTTCATATTGTATGCTGTATATTTATAGTATTTGAGTGTCAAATGTTGACAAACTAATGTTTATAAAGAGATTTTTTTAGCTAAAACAAATAGAATTCAAAAATAAAAATTCAATTTCGAATTGAAATTTTAGTCTTCTGATTAAATATAAAATAAAATATTCCACATGCATCTCGAGAAAAAAAATGAATTATAAAATGATTTCTAAGGTAAAATTTGAAATGTTTTCATAATGAAAATGTGAATTAATGTAAAAAGTTTGGAAATAAAAATTTAGAACTCTGATCATCGAATACAAAAGGATTTGAAATAGTTCAAAATAAAATCTCGAAAGATGTCCTCTCATTCTATAAGCATTTAGCTAGTTTTATGTAAATCATTCATTTTATAGTCTCATGGGATAAGTTGTTGTTCGTCAACAAACAATGAAGATAATGATGGGTGAAAAGAAGAAGAAAAACAAAGAAATTATTGCGTTTCAACAAACAAATTCATTCATATTAATCGCTATTTCGATTAAAATAAAATAAATCTTGATGATTTTCCATCTTTCCTTGTTAAACTTTTTAAGATTTTTCTATTTTGTTATTATTTCATTATCATGGATTTTTAGAATTAAATATTAAGTAGAAACACATATTGTTTGTTTGTCACAAAGATTTTTGACGCTGCAAAGTGTTCGAAATTTGTTGATATCGAAAATTATTATTTTCGAGCTTTTGTAAATCAAATCTGAAACTGTCAGTTCACTGGTATACGAACATTATATTTATGTAGGTTTTTCTTTTTATAACAGTTACACACACATGTTCGTTGTTGTTTTTTTTTCATACACGTCTTGAATAACACTATGCTATCGATCATGACTGACGGACCAAACAAATCATAGTCCGAGACGTCACTGAACCTATTATCTTTCTTCGCTTATATATATATATGGATGTATGAATGTAAAGTACCCTACGTCATTCTCATGTAGATATACTCTCTGACACTATGGACCCCCCCCCCCTCTCATCTTTTGATTGATTGATTAGTCCATGTTCTACATTAGAATGTACAAATAACAGAACGATAAAAATTTTTCGACTAGTTTTGATGATTTTCGTCAGATAGTGTAGGCCAGATAAGATCTTTTCTCTTTTTTTTCTCTCTCTCTCTCTTTCTATGATTTCATCTTTGTATAGACGAATAGTATACTAATAGTTATTCATTTCTTACTTTCTAAGTAGTTAATAACGAGTTTGACAAACGAACATTTAGTGATTATATATATAGAAATATTTCATTAAAGTGAATTCTTACATTGTTTTTTTTTCCTAGAGATTATGTCACTCGATTTCGTGCAAACAATTCCATCTGATCAAATCTCATCATTATTACGAAAAGTTTCTTATGGCCTAGTTACAACTTGTGTACTCGGTGCTGCTGTTTATATTGGATATCGTGTAGCTGCACCTGACAAATATTCTATTAAACAACATCGACATCCAGAACTTAATGATCAAGTAAGTTATATAAGAAAATGAAGGCGTTTTTTGTTTTTCAAATAAGATAAGCATAGCTTGTTGAATTTCTACTGGTTTATATTTATCTAAAAGTTAAATGGTACCACTAAACTATTTTGCTCAAAGAAAATTAAAGGTATAGAACTAATAAAAAGTTCGACATCGTTAAAATTGAATCCATAGTCTATGATTCATTCTTCGGAATAGAAAATGATCTTAGATTAAAATAGAGTTAGAATTAAATACATGAAATTTATTAATTCGAAAATTTTATCATGAAAATATTTATATCAGAGATCCATAAGACGGTATTTATTGCTCTTGTCTATAAATAAAAAATTCAAAGTATTGAGATCATTTTATTTCATAGGAAAATCGCTTGATTTTAAGAGATAACGACTGATGTTTTTTTTCAAAATCTTTACGACGATCTAATTATAAAAATGTAATCTTCGCTTACTTAACCGATGATTTTCTCTCTACATTCCAAGGATCACTCTTAGTACTATAGCTTGTAAATCCATCTATCTTATGAAATCAAATATCATAAGTCATTCAAACTAGCATCAAAGAAATTATAAACTTATGAATAGAATTTTTTCGAAGATGTTATTTAGTTCTAGAAAGTTAAAAATTTATATCAAGCGATCGCAAAAATGGCATTTTCGATCTCTAAAATAGTATTGAAAACTTTTTGCTTCGAACAAAATAAATATCATATCCGTAATCAGTGCAGCAATAGGGTCAAATGACATATTTTGTAATATAATGGATTTTCCAACAAAAAAAAAAGACTTATAAAAAAGAACTGAAGGTATCACAGATAACTTTTTCCAGAAATATTGTTTCTATTATAAAAGACGTAATTTAACTCAATTTTTGATGATAATTACGGATATGATATTTATTTTTGTTGAAACAAAAAGTTTCCAATACTGAATCGTGCATTGTAATGATTAAAAATATCATTTTTTACAGTTGTTAGAACGGAATGAAAAGAAAATAAGTTTTTATCTCTTAAAATAAAGCGATTTTCCTATACAATAGGATGAATTCAGTATTTTGATTTTTTTTTCAATATACAAACGAATGAGAAATTTTTCAAAGCACATTTTCTTATACAATTTTATGAGTTTTATCTAACTACATATATATATCATCGAGAAAAATAATGTACTCAAATTTCGAATATTTACCATCTCACTTCAATACCAAAGGTCTTGATTAGGTTAACAATCTTTGTTTTGATAAGAAATCTTTTTCGTTATGTACTTCCCGAGACAACACTATTCCAATGAGTTTCTATAAAGTTGACGAGGAAGTTTCCTAACTGATAAATCACTTTAGAGTTAGGACTATTGTCATCATGTAGATTCTAATAAGTTATGAATACACTGAAAAGAATTCAGATTAAAAGTTTATTGCTCACAAGATATTGTACTTTTATGGTAGTTTTGAAATGAATGTTGTGATCCTCCTGAGGAAAACTAATTTTAGAATTTTGACTTGAAACTTTTCATACAGACAATTTTTAACGAGAATATATAACGGCAGATTCGATATTCTCATTTCACACATGAAGAACAAATCCTAAAACTTTTTCAGTAAGCCATTTTCATTAAAATCTTTCTCCGTACAAAATCTCAAGTCGAAATTCGAAAATTCGCCTTCTTCATATACTACACAGCATTCATTTAAAAACTGTCATATCTCCTTAACAATAAACAAAAAGTTCGAATTCTCTTCTGCATATTCAAAACTCATTTGAATGAATTTCCTTGTTAGACTTTCATACATTTCATTTATTTTTAAATTTAGATCGAAAAGGTAGTTGCTTCATTAAAAATTACTGATGAACAATTACAACATATCATGCGTACTTTGGAAGAAGAAATGAGTGCTGGTCTCTCACCTGCAACACATAAACAAGCAAGCGTTAAAATGTTTCCATCTTATGTACGACATATTTCAAAGGGTACAGAAGTAGGTCAAGTACTTGCACTTGATTTAGGTGGAACAAATTTTCGTATTCTTTTAATAAAATTACGTGGAAATTCAAAAATTGATTTAACATCAAAAATTTTTGTTGTTCCACAATCAGTTATGATCGGAGATGGAAGACATGTATGTAATTGTTTGATAAAAGAATATATGTCAATTGTTTTTGTTTTATTTAGTTATTTCGACATTTGGTAGAATGTTTGTCAGATTTTATGAAAAGAGAAACTTTATTACATTCAGGAATAACTTATCCATTAGGTATATATGAATATTAATTCAAAAAAGAAAAATTGAATAAATAAATAAATAAATATTCTATTTAGGTTTTACATTTTCATTTCCTTGTAAACAAGAAAGTCTTTCATCGGCTCGATTAACATCATGGACAAAAGGTTTTAGTTGTGCTGGTGTTGTTAATGAAGATGTTGTTAAACTTTTACAAGATGCTATTGATGAAAAAGTACGTAATGTTAATCATTCATTCGTTTTTAATGATTTCTATCTATTATTTAAAAGTCAATTATATATGATAAAACTAAAGATTTATGATTAAAAAAAAAACCGTAAACAACTATTTTTCGAAGAATCAAACGTAGAAAAGAATAAAATTTTTTTTATTCTCAACTATGATCTTAAGATTTGAAAATTTTTGAAATGTGCTATTCATTGATATTAGATAAGTATTTGATTTACGCAAAAGGATAATCTAAATATTTTTAACCAAAGCAACCGTGGATTAAGAAGTTGTGGATCCGAACCCGACCAGACACTCAGACATGGGTCACAATTCGAATTTTTTTCCAACCTATCATCTGCCATTGAACCAACCGAATGTGAATAGCAAAAACAAAATTTTTATTATATACAGGGTGGGAAATAATATTATTCAAGGGGGGTACCGCTATAATTTCAAATAGAAGATATGATGAATTTTATACCAAATGAAAGCCCATAAAAAATGGGGTTTATTGGTACTAAATGATGAGGATTATGAAAACCTTTTAATGTCGACTTTAATAAATTTTCAGAAATTTTATACTTTTTTTGGAGTGGAAAAGTAAAGTGCCAGTAATTGAAAAATGGATTAAAATGTTTTTGTTGGATATTTTTACATGGTTCGATAGAGCTTATCAAGTTCTACAAAACTGTACATACGAAAAAATTTTTAAAGAGAGTTGTTGGGTTAAAATTCACTGAAAACTGTCCAAAGAATGTACCAAAAAACTCACATTTTTTACACTTTTTATAGTGAAAAAACCCGGTCTTTTTTACACTAAATTTAGCTGTTTTCCATTATCATCCTTATGTAAGATGTTTGAAAATATACTCATTCAATGCAGTTTTTCACGCTGCATCAAATGAGCATATTTTGAAACGCCACAGAGAGTAAAAATAATCAAAAAAAATCTAATTATATTGAAAATTCGGATGCTTTTCTTGAATATAAAAAATATGACTTTTTTAACGTTTTTAAGATTTTACAAATAGTTTTTGAATTTTTTAACACAAAAAAATGACTCAGNTGTTATTTGTAAACGATAGTATTTCTTTAATGTACATTCTATAGTAATTCTATTCCCTTTTTTTTGTTCTTAATCATATTTTACCTTCATAACTATATCAGGTGTTTTTTCTAATCGATGATTATGTGTCTGAAAAAAGACGTTTCTCTTTAGCACAAAAAGAAATAATGTGAGCAAAAAAAAAAACAATCGATAATATTTTACATCGTTTATAATCAGCATATTCTTCTGCATAGATCTCAAATAAATTTTTAAAAATTATTATTACATTATTATCAATGAAAAGAAAAGACTACACTTTTATAATATAACATCTTATTACTTATGCTTTCCAGTTTTTTTTACATTAAAATTTAATAATATTTTAAATAAATAATTCTTATATGTCTTATGGACTTTCAATAAGAATAGAAGAACATTCGACATTACTTAGTATAATTTTTTTTCGAAAGAAATCTTTCCATCAGTAAATATATTATTATGAAAGAATTTGATTTGTCGACTAAATAGTAGATAAAGACATATTGTCCATCAAGGTTATATGGTGTATTTATCTAACATTTGCATTTTATTTCTAAGATAACATAATAATTATTAATCAATTTATTATTGCAAAACTTTAAGATACGAGTCTAGTCAAGATTATTGATGAACGAAAACGAATTTCATCAAGTATTTTGATACAGAATATTGCAGACTTGAACTCTTTCATAATATCATTGTTGATACTTATAAAATAACTTACATATAATTCAACTTTGTTCGTTGATTTTAATTTTTTTTTTTTTTGATCAATTATGAAAAAGTTGCTTTTAAGCTAATGATTGTATAATTATTTTCATATATTACACAAGGAAGAAATAATAAAACTGTCAATTGTTGAGAACGAAACTATCAAATAAATACAAATGATAAATTACGTTTCGAAAATTCAAAACTCAAAATAATCTATAATTTACTTCTAACTATTATCTGATAAACCAAAAGATGATTATGAAATGAACCATTTCAATACGACTATGACATAAATTATCAGTTATTTATATATTGTTAATACAAAACACAACGTATTCTGATAAACCTTTCAATGTGTTAGATACCTCCATAATTATGTTAATGATCCATGTATCATATTATTTCAAGTTAAAATAAAAACATAAGAAATATTTTTGTAATGAAAAACAATAAATAACTGAAATATGTGCAATCTTGTATGTATCGAAATACACATGCTCGTCTTGTTTAATTCTATGTGCATTACCATATTTCAAATCAGGAAAAAATTTATTTCCAATGAATTAGTCCATTTTCATCGAATCAATTTATAATTGAAAACAAGTCTTGATACAATATTATCCATGGAATATATAACATTCTATAATGATTTATTGGTTTATTACTAAGAAAAGTGTGAGTGTCAATGTAGAAAGGAAAATATTCACACTCTTTCATAAATATGTCTGTATCTAATACAAGTCTTTTGGATCGATGTGAGTGTTTTCCTCGTCATACTGTTACTCATATTCGATTTGGCAACCAACTGAGATTAATGGCGTAACCAAGGGTGAGTTAGATCGAGTGGTACTCTACCATTGATAGCCTTTGTCATATCATCAGAAGATAGAATAACCTAATAATTATAAGAATTGATACTATATTTCATAAATTCCGTTTAACATCGTAGGACATAATAAATTAATTAATTAGACCAAAATGTTATATATTCAACGAATCATATTTGATTCAGACTCATTTTTTTTTAGTTACGAATTCATTCGGTGATATTGGTATCGGCGAAAATGAAAATTACCTTTCTAATAAAATGACAAAGAGATTTTGTTATTGCACCAGATTCAAACACAATTACTGTTCTTTAATAAATTAATAATAGATCAAAAGCAACAACTGTACTAGTAAGAATTTTATTATAATAAGCTTGTCATTTTTCATTAATTTCTTGTCGATTCCCTTCTGATTTTGGTAAACAATCAAGAGTGTCTTTGATAAAGTGTTTTATATTAATCATGATGATCAACTTTATTGTGATAAGGAACATGTTAAACGTCACTATTACTATGACTTTTATATCATAGTCTATGAATCATAGGCGTATTATTCATATTTCATATTGTAACAGTTATTCTACTAGGTTTTAATATCTATACCAAAATGTTTATTTAATAAACTGAAGTAAATAAAAAGAACTCGTAGCTATTTAATCATATGAGAAAAATTGAGCTTTTTTATGCTTTGTATTCACACATAGTTACTCGTAACCCATATGATGTTTAAAAAGAACCAATCAGAATATAAAGAACAATGATAGATAGCGCTCTTATCTTATGATGTTCTTTATTTATTTACTAGTATAAAAATTATTTCCATTGCTTCATTCATTTTATCCATTCATTTTTTACTTCAATATCTAGTGATCTCTATCGTTTAATAAACTATAGACTTATCATTAATAGAAAAATTTTTATTTATTTTTTTATTATATTTCTCATCGATCACTTGCATCATATTACAGTAAATTGACTTATTGCTAAAAGTTTATGTAATGACATTTGTCAGTTGATTGTACAATTCTTATTTTGTTTTTTTTTTCTCTCTCGCCTACTCAAGTCATACGCATATAGGTTTTGTTTTTTTTAATAAATTGATATTCTGTTTATCAAGATAAAAGAAACAATAAAACGAATGTAAAATGTCGAATTCAAATACCAGTCAACGACGTTTATTTAAAGATTTACAAAAAATTCAAAGTGAAGAACTACCAGGTTAATTTTCTAGACAAAGAAAAAATCATTTCTATATGTTCTCTCTTTTTTCTTTTTCATTTGAATAGGTATCAATGCAACTCCTGTTGATAATGATATGCATGTATGGAATGCTTTAATCGATGGACCAGCAGATACATGCTATGAAGATGGATTATTTACACTTAGAATGGAATTCACAGGTATTGAGAAACAAAAAGATAAAAACTTATAAAAAAAGATTAATTATTTTTGTTTTATAGATACTTATCCATTAACACCACCTAATGTTCGATTTACTTGTAAAATGTTTCATCCAAATGGTAAGTTGAGAGAGAAACAAACACCTACAACATGAATAAAGAACGAAGATGATGCATGAATACGAATGATATTGAAGGTAGAAATAAATTTGATCTGCTCATGACGAGATACGCTTTCGTTCTATTTTGTACATTATTTTATAAAAACTTTTATTCTGATTATAATTAAATTTAATTCATGTAGAAAATAATTTTGATAAACGATTAAGAGTAATTAATAGTAACTTAACTAGATAGATAAATAAATCAATGATGATTAAAAATCATTTTTTAATTTTTGATAATACACATACTCGATTACTTCTTGTGATAGACATCATTTATGTTTTTAATTGAAACTTTCTACAAATATTTTTTCTTAATACTTGTATACTTGAATTATATTTATCGATATTAATTCACTTATTATCAATAAAAAAGATTTTTCTGTAATATATTCATTTTTAAAACAAAACATTATGATTAAAATGAGATAATTCTCTTCAGCTTGTATATAATTTATCTAGAAATGTTAGATAATTTCTATAATATTATCGATTCTATTTTTAATGTACATAAGCAATGTTTATCTTATAATGTCAACTTATCGATTAAAGAAAAAACAAAAACATTTTAGTCTATGCTGATGGTAGTATTTGTTTGGATATATTACAACGAAATTGGAGTCCAACATATGATGTATGTGCTATATTAACTTCAATTCGTTCATTATTAAATGATCCAAATCCAAATTCTCCAGCTAATAATGAAGCAGCTAAATTATTTTTAGAAAATCGTCGTTTATATGAATCAAAAGTACGTAAATTAGTTGAAGAATCCATAATGGCTGATCAAATAACAAATGATTTAAAATTAATTGATGATAATGATGATGAAAAAAAAAAATCCATTGACAAATCATCATCATCATCAACATCGAACAATAATGACAATAACAATAATAATAATAATAATAACAATCAAGAGGCTCAAGCAACAGCAGCATCAGCTTCATCATCATCAAATCCATAAAACATGAATAATCATCTTAGTCCGATCATTCTCGTTTATTGTATTTTTTTTTCTTCCTTTTCATCCTCAAAAAAAAAAAAACAAAAAACCAAGAACTTTATCATACATACAAATTTTAAATATATGTATAGCAAAAATAAAACATGATCTTCTTCTAGATGTAATATATTTACAAATATAATGAACTAAGCATTGCTTAGTCAATGATACGTCCACAAAAAGTACCTATACGTCCTGTATATAATCCATCATTGGCACATGAGACAATACAATCATCGACAAATGTTCCAGATATAACATCATATATAGGAAAAATTTTAACAATAAATTATCATCAAGTTATTGTTGAAGATATTCTTGGACAAGGTGGTTTTGCTTTTGTTTTTCTTGTTCGTTCATTTAATCAACAACGATATGCACTTAAACGTATGTATGTTAATAATCAACGTGATTTAAATGTTTGTCAACGTGAAATATCTATAACAAAAGAATTTTCATCACATCCAAATATTGTTAAATATGTTGATTCATATATACATCGTGTATTACCAACGAATATACAAGCACGTCAATATTATATTGGAAATGGTGAAAATAATGATGATGATGATGATGATGCTATTTATGAAATACTTTTATTAACAGAATATTGTTCAAATGGAACATTAGTTGTAAGTCATCAAAGAAAAATCCTTTTTTTTTTTTTCTTGAACTTTACAAAAAGGACGTTTTTGCTTTGTGATTATTTTAAAGCGTTAATATTTATTCATTTATAGACAAATAAAGTTGCACATGTTTCGACTCTGTCAAAGGTAGGAGACTCCAATCTGCTGTGATCTTGAGACATAATGACGTTTATATTATCTACTATGATTTATGCTCTATCAAATGCTATTATTATGAAATTTCTAGGGAAAGATTTGATCAAAGAGCAGAGAATCTCATTGGAAAAATTACCAAGAGAAATGATTGAAAATTGTCAGAATTATAGAAGGAATTTTAACGAATCTTATCCACTGTCATGTTACGAATATTCAAAAATAATTCTATAAATCAGGCAAATTTTTATCTATGATAGAGATATCATTAAGTCTCTAAATGATAAATCAAACACTATGAGATTTATTGTACCTTCCGAAACATGTTTGTCTGACTGAAAAGATTATATTGAATTTCTAATTTTTTCCTATAAAGATCAATCCAATCCTGGTTATCCACTTGCTATCAATATTCATAGTACTCAAGTTACAACCCAAATATGACTGATATGAATTATAAAATCATCGTTATTATTATTAGGTCTCGACTTTCTGAATATTTTCCATATCTTTCAATCATATAATAAACTGAACGATAGTATACAATATAATTCTTTACATATTTCATAAAGATTAATAGATAGTTCAATATTTTTAAAACATCAATTCAAATTTTCTTACTTTGAATTAAAATAAAAGATTTTTTTCAAATATTTACACTGTTGTTCTTCTCATCATAAGTTTTTTTGCTAGTAACTTTAGCTTTTGTAAATTATTGATCGAAGTATTTACAAAGATTAATCATAAAAAAAAAAAAAACACATGTTTCATGTTCTTTAAACTTACGTTTTCTGTTTTAGAATCGTTTAAATGAACAACATAATGTTGGTATAACATTAAATGAACGTCAAATTTTACGTATATTTGCTGATATTTGTCATGCTGTAAGTGCCTGTCATTTTCGTCGTCCTCAACCTATATTACATCGTGATATTAAATTGGAGAATATTCTTATTGATTCTCATCAAAATTATGTTCTCTGTGATTTTGGTTCAGCTATTATACTTTCATCTTCAACAACGAATGATCATCAACAATATCAAAAAAGTGAATTAACAACAAGTATTATTCAACAACTTGAAGAAGAAATTCAACGTTATACAACATTATCTTATCGTGCACCAGAGATGATTGATTTATATAGTCGTTTACCACTTACACTTAAAATTGATATTTGGGCTATGGGTTGTCTATTATATAAACTTATGTATAATGCAATGCCATTTGGTGATAGTATTTTAGCTATACAAAATGGAACATTTGTTATACCTGATGATATGGCACAAGTTTATAGTCGAGAATTGAATTTATTTGTTCGATATATTTTAGAAATTGATATTAACAAAAGACCAGATATATGGCAGGTTAGAGAATATTTATACTAGAGTAATAAAAAACGATTCGGTATACAGAATAGACATAAATTTCGAAGAAATCTTTCTTAAAAAAGATTAAGATGATTATGCAATCAGTAATTTTCATAAAAAACATGTTAACATTAATTTTCTTCTGTCAAAACCATGTTTCTATCTAAGAAATTTTACTTGAAAAAAAAACACAAGGATTTTCAGGAAGGCTATATTTGAGTTCAGAAATGTTTATATTAACCATGATGACATTGAACATATAGAAGAATTTTTAGATTAAGTTTCAAATATTCACTCTGAAATAAAAAGAAGCTTTGTTTCTTCTGAAATCATCAGTAGTACTAACTAGGGAACCTTCGAAGGTGCGGGAGTGCTTTCCAATCGGGGTTTCGTGCATCTTGTAGCCCGTAGTGAGTTATGCTTACGGTAAAAAAAGTTCGGGTTTCTGGCTTGTTTCTGAGGAGATATCGAGCCCTTGAAAAGTTACAAAG